TGTGTGGGTGTGTGTGGGTGTGTCACTGTGTGTGTGTGTGTGTGTGTGTGTGTGTGTGTGTGTGTATGTGTGTGTGTGGGTGTGTGTGTGTGTATTTATGCACACATATGTCGGAACGGAGAGCTACATTAGTAGAGCCCCGCTTGACCGTACACCCCTCTAGCCATACAGCGAATTCCGCCATAGTCACTATAGTGTGTATATCCACTCAACTGTAATTTGCTTACAGACGCAACCCGCACAACACGTACTCTTCGTCGCTATATTACAATTAACAAGCTGCCTGTAGCGACAGAAGCACTCACCGCTATACACGCAGGTTGGAACAAGTAAGATCAGAATTCCCTATTATCTACTTCCTGTAAGATGAAGACGTCCGGCCCGTAATACTGCCACTGATATACAGAACGCGTGTGCGCGCCTTATCAGATGCACATGCACTTCTATTAGCCGGTGCAGGTGGAATAGTCAAAAATAATTACTCACGTTCTCATCCGCCAGGCTGACTTGACAACACCCAGGTCAGCATGATCCTTCGCTGACGACACCCGATTCGCGTACGGTTTGCTGCGTGCTGAGCGACGAGTGGCCAAATCTGAGAGACGACAGCAGCAGAGCGCATTAATCCGCTTGCTTGATATCAAGGTGATGTACGCGCAGTCGCGCACTGCGTGTGTTGCGCAGTAAATGCGAGTAATGCGAGACAGTCTGACGAGACCTGTGTGGGTGTGACGGGTACAAAAGCCATGGCTGAATCAGAGCATATGAATCAACTATTATATATGCTCTATTTGATATGTTGATTTATATGCTCTGGGCGAATCTAGGATGCGAGCTAAGAGTAATTGAGGCGATTGCGTTTGTGCTGAAATGTGAGGTAGAATAATATGTAGTTACACATCGTGACAAAATATACGCACTCCTGCAATTAAAACACGCATGATCACTTTTCCCCATAAAACCTTTGTCTAAAACCATCCTGCTGGTTGAAGGTTAATATAGGTGAGTGTTAAATTACCCTACTATCGGTTGTAAAAACAGGTACCGCTTGGCCCTTACTCCCAGTTTTCGAATGTGACTTTTAAAAAAACATCCCTATTTTCTCAGATTATTCATTAAATTTTTTAGTCAAATGATATACATTTTCTTTGAATATAAGAACACATACACGTACGTGTTTTTCTTCGGTATCCCCCACTTCCTTAATGAGAGGCGATTGTGGTAAGTGAAATAAAAGACGCAAAATTCTGATGCACGTAATAAAGACGTGTTAGCTGCACTTTGTGTAACACACTCTGACTCATAGGGAAAGCTTTCTGACAAAACTTAAAATGGTGCTACTGATGTAAGATATATACAATGTCTACCCGGCTACAACAGCTACCCGGCGACACATCAGCGGCTTTCTGCGCCGACTGAATGCCGTCACCGCGTCATTTTGTGTGCGACAACATATAAAATGTCTAACTGACGAAATCTGAATACTGAAACCAAATACACGAATAGGACTATAACAAAATACTAGTTTCATTATCCACACGCCCGCACGCACACGCACACACAAACGCACACACACACACACACACACGCACACACACACTAGCATGCATCACTTAACAAGGACATAGATATATGATGCATATCACGGATGCGGTTACGATTTATGAATGTTTATTCATGCATAGAACTGTATATAAATGAAAATCTGAAAAAACATGACTCAATAAAGCATTTCCATGATTTTATTTTGAAAACCAGAGAATAATGGAACATTGTCGCGTTTCCGCGACGGTGTTCACTTCCAACAGCACGGAGAAATCATGATCACAACGTCTACGGCATGATTTACAAATTAGCACCGAGGATAATAGGACCTATAGTTACTTTCCAGGTAAATGAATCTACAATTTATATGACACTGCCTACTCTGATTCCTTATGAATCAATGCTGAAGAAAAGAAGCTCTGCCAGAAAAGAACCTCTATGAGTTAGTGTCTGTTGGCAAAATTGTTTCACTGCATCGTTACAGTCGTAGTTATATGGTATTACTAAGAACTGCAATTATTTTATACAACAGGAGAGCCTGGTCAATTTTCAAAACCACCTATATATTCATATAGTTTCTACACGTTATATAGTATAGCTATAACAGGTATATGTACATTTCACATGTATTTAAATACACATACACACACATGCAGAATATCCGTGTGCACTGCACATCCACGCTCATACACACTCATTATTACCGTATATACACCAAACCACGACCAAAGACACCCAAGATCGAAAGGTGTTGATTTAACACCTATTTTTTACTGCTAACAAGCACTGCTATAGATACAGTAGTGTCAATTTTCCAGCACTTGGCAGTGACTGCAATTCAGTACGCCTGGAATGGAATGGGTTGCGTGGAGTGAATCGGCTGGTGTAGCTGATCAGCAGACCGACTGCATGACAAGTACCTGTCCTATATCATCATACTCGTACGTCCTCTTTAGGAATGTATCAGTGACCCTGATTCCAGATATACTCTGTAAAATCAGCGTAAATGTGCACATGCATTACTTTTGGCTAAATTCCAATTGCAATTAGACAAATGTAAACACACATTGCATAGATTTTTCTACAGCGTTTATGGAAAGTTATATCAAAGTCATATAAATGTTGGAGTACTGCTGTCGGTGAAATATTCAATATGAATGCAAAACTACATTATGATCCCGACTACTTGGTATTCAAAGATAATAAGTCAAAATGATATATGCTGTTGCATACCTACATTCCTCGCCATTTTATCAGATGCTAGCAAAAGCAAGTAATGACAAGCTAATAGTTACTAGACACTTTACCTGCAGTCCTGGTTTTGTATATAGAATTTTCAGATTTAGCTCCATGCTACTATTTGCTTCCAATCTACCAAGTTGCTTATTTGCTATGCCACACCATAGCAACCCTATCTGGTGGTAGTTTTGTAACGATAAACCGAGCTCCATAGTTCGTTCACTGCAAAGAGAGATGGCATGTTACTGCTCTAACATTACATAAGGTTCCAACTACACTACATATTTTGGCATTTACTGAATTTAGTATAAATTTTCATAATAGTTTGCTGGAAGCAGAATGGACACCAGGATGACTATCAATGGACAAGTCTTTATTTTATAGTAGTGGATATGCAACAAGACTTGAGAAAGAGCTAACCTTTTTTACTTTAATAATACCCATTATATAGCCATGGGATGTAATATTTATTTAAAAACTACCCAGTACTTTTGTGAAACTAAGACACTGCCCTGCTTAATGATATATGAAGCCAACTAATCACCTTTAAAGAGAGACATGACCCTAGGTTCCTTGCATATATTCAGTTAAAATGGGTTTAAATTATGCTACATTAAAAAATTGTTAAAAAATCATTAGAAATATTTTTTTTTAATGTTTTAAAACTGACAGCTACGACGATGGTGGCGCCACCACAAGTGCATCGACTGAAAAAGATGTGCAGCGTAGATGCATGCTACCTACCAAGGGTGTTTTTTATTTACTCATTTAAGAGGAGAAGGATTGCGATAACTTGTAAACCACTCTTAGTTTCAGTTATTATAGAAACGAATTTGTTCTAAAATAAAAATCGTTTGATTAAAGGCATACTAAGCCCTTTGATTATGCAATGTTGGCGAATGCTAAAGTAACTGGCACCTTGTGTAGTTAATAAGTACATAACCTTATAGCCAAACGCGTATTAGTTTGTCCAATATCACTGCAGGTTACATTACAAACAAGACTTGAAATCGGTTGTTGATATGTATCAACGTATCATTTACGTGCCGTAAATGTCATCCAGGAGTCAAGCAATGACGTAAACATTTGTGCGTCTCGTATGTTTTGGACGCCAGATGAAATGGAAGTGCCAGCGGTGTAACCGCGGCCACGGACTAAACATGGAAATGGAGTAAAACACACGTACTAATCACGGACGCACGTGGACAGCCCTGACAAAAAGTTAATTATCACGAGCGTCCATGTTTACGAAATCATTGCTTATTATATTATTATGATTATTGTTTATGATAGCATTGCGTACGGCCGAGCATGCGTGCGAAAATGTCCGGTGCACTATAAATCTGTATCACACCCGCTTCGCCGGCAGCGGTTTGAAACTGTAAACAACTGATTTTTGGACTGCGGATTTCAATTAGATATTTCTTAGTAACCAGCAGTGATATTGGACAAACTAATGTGGGTTTGGATGCAAGGTTATGTACTTATTAACTACACAAGGTGGCAGTTACTCTAGCATTCGTCAACATTGCATAATCAATGAGCTTTGTATGCCTTTAAATAGCAGTTAGGTATAAATATAATTGCACTTTTGTGATTAGCTCTCGGTCTGTAACGTGCAAAATAAATTGGGAGAAGCGCAACTTTGTCGGGGTGGCAGCACAACCATGCGGGTTCATGTCAGCGATCAAAAATAAAGACTTCGAACTCACTGTTGTTTTATGACAAATATGAATGTGTGATTATAGAAATTTGTAATTATATACTATTATTTATGCACTTACTATCATAATATCAGGAGTGAATAATAATCGAATCTTATTATATTATATTATACAATTATCGACCTGTGATGAGGTCGATACGTGACTATACGGACCTGGTCAAAGATTGGTTCACCGAGGCCAACGGCCTAGGTGAACCAATCCTTGACCAGGTCTGTATAGTCACGTGTCGACCTCATCACAGGTCGATAACCGTTTTATTATATGGTTAATAAAGAAATAAAAAACAAATTGAATGTGTTAGTCAATAAACACACATACACACACACACACGCGCGCGCGCGAATTCACTCACAGACGCACGCACAAGCGCACGCACACACCCACGCAAACATACGCACATGCACTCGCGCACGCACGCGCACGCACACGTAACAGATATGCATTCAACGGCATACAGAAACTTTACAACAAGAGCATTGTGGACCAAAACTTTGAACCCACAACACCCTTCTCTCGCGATTGCCTCCGCGTGTGTGTATACACCTCCCACAGTATCATCGGCCGCCGATTGCTGCTGTCGTACAAATTCGCTATTACGCGCGATCTCTGGCCGAGGGAAAACGCAATTTTCGAGCGAAAATTCGCGCGCGCCGCATTGCATAACAACCGGAGAAAGAAAATTTCGCAAATTGTTTTTCCGCGCTGCCATATATAGCGAGAGCAGTGTTTTTCTTCCGGCATCTCTAATCCGCGTCCGGATCCGCATCGACCCCCCCAGCGGGGCAAGGCTGGCTTCATCTCTCCATTCAGCACTCGTCATCTCCCGAGGCTTCCGTCGCCTGAGATGTCAATGTTGCGAGGGGTCAGCAGCGCCGAGTCGCCATGCAATTTGCGCCGAGTAACGACGGAATCGAACGAAGCTGCCGAGACTGCGCGCGATGCGACGCGAAAAAATGCGCGCGAGTCGTCGAGCGCCGTTACCTCGCCGTTTAAGAAGCAGAATATCAAGGCGACGAAGAATCCCTGAAACGAGAAAGCAACAAAATACAATTTATACTCGAGACTGTGGCTGCTGCTGCGAGGCATGTAGCATGTTGTATGATGATTGCAGCGTATTGCAGCGCGGGAGACTAGCGTTTTGTATTCACCGCGTGTCGGCGGGTCGTAACATTTTTAATTGTTAACAAGCTTAAGTCGTTCCAACGCCTGCAAAATATGTCGTCGCACTCATGCACGCGCGCACACACACACGCACACACACACACACACACACACACACACACACACACAATATATGTATATGTATATGTATATGTATATGTATATTATGTATAGGCCTACGTATATGTATATATAAAAAAATTTATGTATATAATATTTACTTATTTATTAATGTGATGATACTAATATAAATATTAATCATAATGTATTGATATTGTTATGTAATTACGTATCTATATTTATTAATTGCTGTAATGGAAAAAAATAGTTTGACGAAAATTCGAAAAGGTTGTTTGCGTTGTGCTTTTCAAACGAGTTTGCTGGGCACATCATTCGTGCATTACAGGATATCTATGTGTAGTGCGGTCATATGTCCTCACCCCTAGCGGAAACATTTGTGGAGTCATGATTCTTCATCAAAAATCGGGCAACAAATAAATACGGGTGTGGTCTGACGTGGTGACATTATTATGACGTAATTATATTGAGCTAATATACATACAGTGTGCAACTCACGAGGCGCCAGTTTTATCCGAACCGTACCGAGTTTGTTTTAATTTTCCGCCAACTATGCTAATAGCTGATTTATCGTTCGCATTTAAACACGGGTTAAATTGCCATCCGATAGCGATTGATAGCCGAACATCTAACCACGGAATTAAACAAGACACTCTAATAGGCTACCGGAATATAAACTAGAGGCAACATCGTTTTCAACAGAAACCAGATTCTAATTATGTGCGTTATGCAATAGCTTGATGCCGTTTTATTAAAATTACTAACGCACTAGCGCGACCCGACGTTACCGAATGTGAGCTGCATAGCTATGCGAATGAACATAAACGTCGAGCTAGATTCCCCAGTGATGACTCCAGCGCGTCAAACGACCTAGTTGGAGTGCGCATGACGTCAGCGAGTCTCTTTTCGTAAAAAATTTATCGCCAACGTATTATCCCGATATTATAGTGCAGCGGCATCGATTGCTAAGCTGGTCGAACAGGGCGAGCGGTAATGCAGTAAATCGGCGTGTCCCCCTAGAGACGCAACCGGATTCCGGATCGCACACGTGCCCATTTTGCGAAATGACAGGATATACAGAAAAACAGTCTGCACCAAACGCCCTCGCACTCGTATGCTACATATGATAACAAGCCACTGCTACATGCCGCTGTTATAATATGAACTATACATCAGTCGACAAACATTAACTTTATTAAGCTGGTTCACACGTCTGTAATCGTAAAATGAAAAGAGAGGTACGTCACCGCACGTTACGACACTACTTGCCAATGTCCGAAATCCTATAAACAAACTGCACCACGCTCCGATTAGTCCCGTGTTTCAGGAAAATGTTTGTGATCTTTTTGGAAATAAGCTTGAAACTTTAAATATACTAAGTTAAGTAACTGTGTTTATGGAATATGAATACGTTCTGCAGTAGAAGCAGATTGACAGCGCCCCCTCGTGTTTCTATCGCAAAGAGTATTTACTCTTGCCATATGTATATATGTATGCCAAATTTCGATTTTGTTCCTAAAACTGCACAAACATTGCGTTTATGAGAGCTAAAGCCCGGCGCACACGTGAGTAATTTTACTCAAGTAAAATGACGCATGAGTCAAAATACTCAGGCGTAATATTTTCAGCGTTCGCCGCACACGTGAGTAAAATTACTCAAGGAATAAGTGGTAATGCAGATCACGTGACTGTGCGTAGCCAATACTGGTCGCACAATGATTTAAACTCATGCGCTGTGAGTACCAGTGTTGAGTAAATTTACTCAGCGCGCGCGCACACGTTGAGTAAAATGACGCATGAGTCAAAAATTATCAAACACGTTTGATATTGAGTAAAGTGACGCATGCGTCAAATTGCTCAACGAAAATCTGCCGCACACGTGTGTAAAATGACTCATGTGTCATTTTACTTGAGTAAAATTACTCATGTGTGCGCCGGGCTTAAGCTATTGAACTACATGAGCTTGGGATTATGACTTCATACAGAGTAAAGTTACCATCATGCAAGTTACTAGACAGTAAAGTTCATTCGCCAAAATCAAGAGAATCTGTTTAGCGCCAAGTCATGAACACGCATCAACAACCGTTGCCGCATTTACTTTATCATAAACGCCATCTTTACGTCTCATCTGCTGTCCAAAAACCTAAATTTTCGATCGTACTAATGTCTACACAACATATCCACTCACGTTTTGGTCAATCCGCGCACCCACCACGCGCAGTCGCACATGCACGCACACACACACACACACACACACACGCACGTATACGCCCACGTGTACGCGCGCTCGCACACTCGCACGCACATGTACACACACACGAACACGCATTCGCACACGCGCACGCATACACACACGCATACATTCATATCTTAGCCTCTAGAATTACGTGTAGTAAACCGTGTACATTTCAGACGACCCACTATGACATCAACGCGCAGGCGGCGGTGGCCACTCTTCTGTCGACATATTATTAGTTGTATCTACACGCACGAGTAAACAGCCTACACAGAGCGCCGCTAGAGGGCGTTGAGGAGGCGACGTGCCGGCTCACGCCTGCTCCCGCAGAGCTAGCGTTGACGGCTGTGACTGGATGCGGTCCGTTTCTCTCGTCGACGCTGCGATGACGTCATAACGGTTGGCCGACGTTTGCGTGCGGCGGATCGTAACACGATGGACAATAGCTGTTCCTTGATCGTTTCGTTGGATTCTGCGGCAGAAAAAAGGAACGTGGGAGATCTAGAGTAGGCAAGAATACGCGATGCGAGAATGTGTGAGAACGTGCGAGAATGAGTGAGAACGCGCGAGAATGTGCAAGAACGCGCAACAATGTGGGAGAACAGGTAGAAATACGCGATAAAGCGCGAGAATGTGCGAGAACGCGCGAGAATGTGTGAGAACGCGCGAGAATGTATGAGAATGCTCGAGAATGCACGAGAACGCGCGAGAATATGTAGAAATGCGCGAGAATGTATGAAAACGTGCGAGAATGTGCGAGAACGCGCGAGAATGTGCGAGAACGCGCGAGCACGTACAAATGGCTCTGGTGATTCGTGGTTGATTAACATGTGACATAACTGGCAATTGATGACCTTTCTACAACTACTCTATATTGTAATACGCCTCATTAGGTGAAGGCACTTTACGGCAAATAGCGTTACTACGTTCTTTCGCTACGTTACACAACATGGTATACGCGATAGGCACATGATACATCGGTGTGTACACGATATCCTCTACAGAATTAATAAGAAAATGAAGTTCACGCACGCACAGACACGCAAACACAAACACGCACACACACACAGACACGAACACTTACATACGCACACACACGTACCCTCCCCCACACACATACACACACATACGCACACACATGCACCCTCCCCCCACATACACATACACAACTGCTAATCTTCGATATAGAAGCGGTAGCTCGATTGGCAAGCGCTCACACACCCACTTTCTTCACGCGAGGTGTACTCGTTTGACACGCGCGGTCAACTCGGCATGAGGTACGGACCTCCAAATGCCATATGGGCCAATCAGATTCAAGCAAAATGCGCTACCATATAATAAAATCTATTATTATTCACTCCTGATAATATACTATAAATTTCTGGGGTTTAGTATCCCTTTCACTACACTGCACTGCATTGCACTACATGCACTCCACTTCGAGCCAAAACTGATTACACTTGCTTCTTACTTACACACAGTTAGTCAACTTGCATGTCAAATGTAGAGTCTTCTCCAGTTCAGCAACATCTGGGGAACTAATCAGTTCAAATCTTATGTCTCCATGACCAGGAGCCTACAAATAGTGTGATTAAAGTTATTTAATCAAACGGTTAATTAGCATTCATCATAGTTGTGTCTCACGTAAAATCATTTTACCTTCTATGACCTGGTTATATGCCACTATAACATGGTTTCTTATTAAGGAATTATTTAACTGCTACATTAAAAATTCCTGTATAATATGGTCTATAGTCATGCTTAACAGAAAGTGAAAGAAGTGCTTGCGCCAGCCCTACTCCTTGGTTCAACCTCTTCTGAAAAAATTGTGACCTACAATTGGAAACTTAGTGATATATAAGTTAATCAATTCTGTTATATGATATGGCAACTGTTACGATATGACATTCATGTATCAATACCATATATATGTACATCGTTGATGACGTCACATCACAACATATGAGCAGTAATAAAATGGCTACCTATAACACATAACGTGGTTGAGCATTGCCTCCTTATTATAGGCCTTCGGGCACGCTTCACAGCAACAAGCATAAATAAAGTTATATATTACTTTTTTTAGTGGTGGAGAGCATGTCTCACACCGTGAAATAAAAACCAATATTGTGTGACCTCTGAAAATCAATGTTGCCTGCTGAATGGTGCTACCACCTAGCGTTAACACTTTCTTGCCACCAATGGCCACACTGATGTACAGCAAGAGAAGGTTTGAATCAATACACAGCATATCGATCTGACTGCATAAAAACAAAAGCTAGGAAAAACAGCCAAAGCTAACTCTGTTAAATTTCCAAGTTTTCGAACATTACGTTGTAATGTTTGCCATATGATACGGCAGACGTCATTATCAGTTTGTTGATTGTAGTTTGGATTTTGATCGCTTGATGAGCGAGGCTATACATTACCAGATTTGTGCAGGTTTTAGTACATTTCAAATTAGATTGTTTATATATGTCAACAAACCTAGAACGTGATTTTTGCTCTCACGAGACTGGAACCCTGTCTCTACACTAGGTTGATTACCTTTGTATAAATTTAAGATAGGTACCAGTATATAAATATTTGCATCACGTAACTATACGTGCACTTGTTTTATGGGACTGTTTGAATAGTCCATTATCGCAAAACTAATGATGGCAGCAGGGCTAATCTCACGCTCTCACTCCGGGTCTGCTAATTCTCATGCATACAGAAACTAACAGATAAATGAAAGTGTCAATGACACTGTAGCTCACCTTGGGTGTGATAAAAGAGGGAGAAGGGATATATAAAGCAAAAGTATATATGGGAGAACTCCCATTATGTCTCCCATTATATACTCTTGATAATGATATATGCATGTTTTGATGCAAAAATAAATGTTTCAGATCTGAAAGCCTAAAATATTGACGAGAGATGGCGCTACGCCTAAATGATCGCCATTTTGGTTTCCGAATATCACAACAATAACATATTCCGGTCAAATTACTGCAACGAAGAATCTAAAACACAATATTACACGTATATGGGTATGATTGTAGAGTTGAAGACCAGTTAGACGAAATAAACGTAATAGGACGTTGTCATCTCTCCCATAGGAGTAACAACTGTTTTGGGGCTAGCCTTACATATTCACATACCAAAATTTAACAAAATCGAATGAATTTAGATGGCCATTTTCATTTTTGCCAAAAAATCTCTCTCTTCTCTCTCTCTCTCTCTCTCTCTCTCTCTCTCTCTCTCTCTCTCTCTCTCTCTCTCTCTCTCTGTCTCTCTCTGTCTCGCACTCCCCGTCTTTCTCTCTCTCGTCTCATCCGTTCTCTCTGTCCCTCCCAATCAATGCTAAATATGTCATTGTCATTTCTCTGAAACAGTTTAATTTCGCTCACAATCACAGCAGAATTGAATTAGATTCACTCGTACAATTGAACATAATTTTCCCCGCCGCTCTAGCGTGACTACCCGCGTAGAGATTTGCCAATACAATCCAGTCCGCAGCATATCTCTCACAATCGATTGGATACGTTTCCCCGTTGAAACGAAACGGCTAATCAGAATAACCGATAAACAAGTGAACAGTAGTAGTGCATCGTGGGTATCCGATTGAAACCCTCACTTCTGCGTAGTAGCAGAGCACGATTGATCAATATTGATCAATGTCATTACAGATTACAGATATTTTTTATCTTCCTTCCGCCCTCCTTCCTCTCCCACCGCACTCCACCCTCTTCCACCGCGACCTTTTCTCTTTCTACCACAGCCTCTCCCTCTTCCACCACGCCCTCCTCCTTCTCCCACAGCACCCCTACGTCTTTCACCATGCCCTCCTCCCTCTTCCACCACGCTCTCTTCCCTCTCCCACTACCCCTCCCTCTTCTACTACGCCCTCCTCCTTCTTCCACCAAGCCTTTCCCTCTTTTAGCGCCCCCTTCCTCTTTCACTTCGGACTATCTAACCGATACTGCGAGTGATGGCAGACGACGGAAAGCACGAACGGCGGTGCATGCAGACGCGCTCTCACCTGGAAGGACGAAGATATCGCCAACAACTTCTGGTAGATCACTTGCCCACTGCTGCCCTCTCTCGCCGGGAATGATAACAATATGTAGTAGACTCCGAGTAGTGGGATGAGTATGAGAACGGCGCGTACGGCCTTCCTGTAACGGGATCATCGTTGAATGTAGTTAGCGCAAGCTAGGGGAAAATACCCGCTAATGAGTGTGTAGTACTCGCCTTCGTGGTATGTGGTGATGTTTGGTGTCGTTGTACATGTGTAGCTATGGGTAGCGATACTATAACTACTGTGGCTCAGACCATCATGATAGGAAGTGATAGTAGTATTGGTACTAGTTATGACTGTTGCTGTTGTTGTGGTCGTGGTAGTTGGGCTAGTAATGGTAGAGATATGTGTGTTCGTGATAGAAGTTGTGTGCGTGTGTGTTTGCGTGTGTTTATACTCCAGATATAGGGTATGAGGTATGGTGTATGGAGGTTGTGTTTGTGTTCGTCTACGGAGATGTACGCGGAACGATGCCGGACGGGAAACGAGATCTGTAAGTAGCAGACGACTTCCGCTTGTCGCCCCCTTCGTCGCTGTTCGCTTGTTCCGTCCCAAGCCTGCATGTATGTGTATGTGTATGTGTGAGAGAGAGAGCGAGAGATAGTGTGTGTGTGTGGGGAGAGGGTGCGCGCATGCGTGCGTGCGTGCGTGCGTGCGTGCGTGCGTGCGTGCGTGCGTGCGTGCGTGCGTGCGTGTGTGTGTGTGTGTGTGTGTGTGTGTGTGTGTGTGTGTGTGTGTGTGTGTGTGTGT